TTAGCACATTTGTTCTCGTGACAACAACCATTAAAACTGTTGCATTTTTTTTATTTTTTTACTTTCATTATTTATTTTATACTAAAACTTGGATCAGCGGAAGATAAACAGGCCTACTGTCACCAGCTTCACCTATGAGTACTGTACTGCCACCAGCTACACCTGTGAGTACTGCCACACAGGTGTACGCAAGGAGCTACACCATTAGGTAAATTTGGTTAGGTTAGATTAGGTTAGGTAAGGAAAGGTTAGGTGAGGAAAGGTTAGGTTAGGTTAGCTTAGATTACATAATCACTATCCATAGACTATTCCTATATATAAATCAGGTTGAAATTTCTAAAATATACACAAATTATCGCCATTTCGCCATTATTCCTATTTATCGTGATTATATGCCGCATATCAACGTTGTCTGAATACTGAGAACAGTGTAAGAGAAGAAAAAAAAGATAATATTCTCAACAATCAAAATATTATACGAGATTTTCAAACAAAGTCATTGAAGTGAAGAGTCAGAGAGGTAACTGGCCCCAGAGTGGTTTCTATTATCATATAAAGATGAGCAACATGCAACGAGAAAGAGTTTTAAAAGCAGACATTATCGCTGGATCTTTCAAGGTCTTTGAGATATTAACTCTGACAGTGACGCTGTTCCCTCTTCGATATTACCCTCGATAGTACTCTTGATATTTTATAAAGTGATAAATTTGTCGTATCCTTCATGATGATTAAGATAAAGTTACGCCATGTTAGAAGATATAAAAATTGAGTATATCCTGTTGGTTCTATAGTACTGCTACACCCATCTAGCTCTCTATCCTGCCGCCGCCCTCCCCGCTGCTTCCCTCACTGTGTCCTAACCACCCCTACCTCCCCTGCCACCCCTGCCTCCCCTGCCACCCCTGCCACCCCTACGACCCCTGCCTCTCCCACACCGAAACAAAGATAATGTGTAAATCGAATCATACATATAAATAGAATAAAGTATTTTTTTACAAAGAGAGAAACACACTCGGTTGGGCGATGTGTCCGGCCCATATCGCAGGGTGCAGCGGCCAGAAAATTTGCTTTTCATCACAGACTCGGCCAACCAATTAGCTGACACGTCCAATTAGTTCTCACCAATGAACCAGGTGGCGCATGTACAAACCTTCCTCAATTTACCAGTTAGCGCTCGTTCTAGTGTTTGCGTATGAGGCTGTGGGATCATTCATGTCTCATACCAGTGGGCCAGTTACACCACGTATGATTATCACCAGAGAGTATTAGTTAGATGAACCACATATGACTATCACAGGTCATGATCATCACTCAATTTTCTTTGCTGAGGTTTTGTCACGCCTAAAATACAAGGTTGTAAAGAACGGCCACTGCCACCATCAGCTGTGAGCACCAGAGGATACATTACTCACTCTGCAGAAGCTGAGTCGTGCAGTTTTATTGATTCTCTACTGAAGAGAAGTCTAGGGGATGAAATACAGCATTACTTGTCTTGGTGATTCAGCAGCAGCAGCTCTCAATACCACGACTCAGGGTTTGTCTTGGTACACATTCTCCTCTAGGTCTTGGTGTGGTCGCCGCCGGGGTCAGAGGCAGGGAAGTGTTACGTAAACATATTATAACAAGAGAGGCTGCGGAGCCCGTCTCTGGCTGTTTACATAAACACGTCTTTATGATCTATAAACCCACACGTGTTGACCAAATGAGTTTAATATTAGATAAGAAACATTGATGAAGGGAACATCTGTTACATGTGCTGTTGCTGATGTTGCTCAAGTAGCCACAGCTAGAGGATGTGACAGTCACCCCACTGTAGCCGTCACCACCATGACCAACCTTGTTTATGATCAGTAACATCTACCGTCAGCAGAGGAAGTTCATCACATATATGTATAACAAGTGAGGAACACTGGCCACAGACACTCTCCCTTAGCACCCAGCCTCACATCCTCTCTCCCTTTTCCCTCCCCTTAAAATACTTTCCTCTCCCTTTCCCACTCTCTTTCTCACACACCCTGAGGACTTTCTCAATTACATAACCCTTAAGAATATTTTTCATCTCCCCTTAAGTCGCTCTGTGATTTTCATTAAGTAGTTTTCTGCCCCCACGTCTTAACCCACTTTATTATGCCCTAAAGTTTTGTCAGCGATAAGATTAGAGTTCCGTAGAGGTGTCTAATTAGGTGATAATTTTTACCTCTCGAGGAGATGGTTGAGTGAGGTCGAGATGCCGGAGGAGGCAGAACTTAATTGACTCAAGTGTGTTGTTTTTAACTGCTGAGTGAGGCGATGGTGGAGTGAGGTGGTGGAGTGGTGGGTGAGTGGGGTGGTGGAGTGGTGGGTGAGTGGGGTGGTGGGTGAGTGGGGTGGTGCAGTGGAGGAGTGGTGGGTGAGTGGGGTGGTGGGTGAAGGTGGATGGTGGGGTGAGTGGGTGAGTGTGGTGGGGAGTGGGGTGGTGGGTGGTGGGTGAGTGGGGTGTGGTGGGAGTGGTGGGGAGTGGGGTGGTGGGTGAGTGGGGTGGTGGGTGTGGTGGGTGGTGGGGTGGTTGCAGTGGTGGAGTGGTGGATGGAGGTACTGGGTGGTGGGTGAGGTGGAGTGGTGGGTGAGTGGGGTGGTGGGTGAATGGGGTGGTGGAGTGGTGGGTGAGTGGGGTGGTGCAGTTGTGGGGGTGGGGGTGGTGGAGTGGTGGATGAGCGGGGGTAGTGGGTGGTGGATGAGCGGGGTAGAGTGGGTGGGTGAGTGGGGGTGGTGGAGTGGTGGGTGAGTGGGGTAGTGGAGTGATGGATGGGTGGAGTGGTGGATGAGCGGGGTAGTGGAGTGGTGGGTGGCAGTGGGGTGGTGGGTGGTGGGGTGGTGCAGTGGTGGAGTGGTGGATGAGCGGGGTAGTGGAGTGGTGGGTGAGTGGGGTAGTGGAGTGGTGGGTGAGTGGGGTGGTGGAGTGGTGGGTGAGTGGGGTAGTGGAGTGATGGATGAGTGGGGGAGCTGGAGTGATGGATGAGTGGGATGTTAAGGGTGATAAGTTAAATATGTAGCTCATAACTACAGGACAAGATTTACATAACTCGACATAAATGGAACACTTTAAAGGATTCTGTCCGTTCATGACATCTCTAATGGTACTATTAAATGTCGATTGTCAACTCAGTAACTGCGGTTCCAAGACTCTCAGCAGCTGTACCATAAACACCTCCACACTTGTGCGTCAGCCCCAGGCTATACACATTGCCCTCTCGTGTCCACCGCAGCTTTCATGACAAAGCTCTTTTCATTAAATTGTTCGGTCGTGTTAGTATTATTACAATGGTTTCCGCATCTCTGGTTTGCCAAGGAGATGTTTAGGTCATATCCTCTCTTTCGTAGGTCCTCAGGCTTTACAGTCGCACTACCAGAGCAGTGCCACGTCATCCGCAGGCACCCAGCAGCGCGTTGACTAAACTCTGAACCTCCTCCACACGAGACAGTTAAATTGTAGATCAGAGATTCTCAATAACAATGGAAGGTCATCCCATCAAGGACCACCCCCCTCTTTCTCTCTCTCTCTTTCTTTAACTCCTTCCCTTGACTAATCTTTACAATATAGCCAGCAATAACCTGGTAGTTGCGTCAGGAGAACAATACGGTCTGGAGAGGCCGAGACCAATAACAATGTAAGTGGCAATAACCTCCACTTACCTCCCTCACACCTGTCTCGTGAGTGGATTCAATATTTTCCTCGTTGAAACAATACGGTGAGGAGCAGCCTGACCCGATAGAAACAAGCGTCCTTCATATACTTATTAAAATATTCGTGGAAAAAATATATATATTGCAACTTATTCTACACAATATCCTTTCTGAATGTTCTTATAGGAAGTGAGATGTTCAGACTATCATCATCATCCTCAAAGTGTAGTATGATTACACCCTCGTTCATTGATTACATAGAAGTACACGAGAATTCATTATCTGTCATACACCCACACATTGTACTACTTCCCCTCACAGTCCAGCATATTCGATCTTTTTTTCTCCCATATATTGTTTCCCGAATGCTCCTCCTCCTCCTCCTCCTCCCACCGTTTATTTCACCCTTCTCACACCCACACACACCTCCACTCTTGTTAATTACCCACGTTGCTTATATCACTTAAAAGAAACAAAACAATATGTGGTGTTTTTAAAGCTGTTGGACGGTGGTGACTGAGAAAACATCGTTAATATGAATAATGGCTTCCTAACATTTTTTTCCTTAGTTTTCAAGATTGATGAAGAAGGCAATTTTAAATGTTTAGAACAGACCCGAAGCTTCTGCCTGTGACGGTCTCTTTAGTAAGTGTAGGTTAAGGGTTAGGTTAGGTTAGGTTAGGTTAGGTTAGTGTATTGTAGAGTACTGGGTAAGAAAAGTATCTACAGTTATCTTAAAGCAGGAGGCGGCAGTAAGTAAGGACGTCAGGTGTACAGTGGAAAGCACCAGGTACAGTAATTATTGTACCTGATATACGACTCAACACACAGGTTATATTAATCATTAAATAATTACATCATCATTAATGCCTTACCTAATATAACCCTAAATAATGATCTGATATATTCTCATAATGTGACCTGATACCTTACTTTACCTCACCTGTACTGTGTAGGTGGTGGTCATTGTAACTCGTTAAATTACCTGTATCGATGCTACTTAACGTGAGGTATATGTAAGACTTATTCTATTCCTCTATCATCCCTTTAGGAAACTTCCACCCACCTCAAACTCCTCCATGGCGCTAAATTCCCATAATTACTAATTATTTTACAAACTACCGACTAGCTCATAGACGATACCTTCACCTGTTTACCGGGTGAAGCAATGGAACGTGTGATTCCGAGACTCTACAACCAATGAGAACTAAGATCCTAACAAACTCATTCTTGATTGGTGAAAAATGGTTTATCAACTCGTTCGGCCTCAGGTAAATCGAGTGTGGTAGTCGATGTGGATTGCTGAGCTTGACTGGAGTGTCAGTTGGCGACGTTCCTCCATCGGTGTTGGGGTGTTGACTAGTGTGAGCCGTGAAGGTGATAGTCTGAAGAACAAGTGGACGCTGTTTATTTCTACTACACCTGAACCACCACGGTTAGCAATGGCTACAAGGGTAAGTGACTTCGTTTTGGGTAAAGATCAGATGTAAGGGCCGTACTTTACATTTGTGTTCATACTGACCTGCTCACACTCGTAATACAATATTGATGGGAATTAAAGATGAATTGCTCTTAAACTACTGAATGTAGTTTATTGAATGCAGTTTATTCTCTCTGGTATATCTGTAGGTTGTATGTTCACTCGCTCATTCCTCTTGCGTTTTGGGTATATTTCATAGGTGAGAAAGCTCTTACATTCTATGAAAAACATTAAAGTTGCAGCTTAGGGCGGACCACTCTTCAAGCACTACCAAATTTTTATCAACAAAAACCCTTATTAATCCTCTTATTCATAACCCATGTTACTCGCTGGCTAGCCTAATCCACGTTAAAATGTCATTTCCTTCTCTGCAGACATTAAATTTTGTTAGACTTGTACTAATTCTCCTCCATTGCTGTTTTATCTTGTAAATTCTCTTGAGGGGATATGGAAGTAATAGGAGAATGTTTCATACATTGGCCAGAATAGTGATATTATGTTACGTTGACAAATTATTTTTGATCTTCTTATTGGTAATAATACCGGACTGTTCTCAAATAAGCCGTAACTGGAACTAAAAACCGTCGTTGAAGGAAAAACCTTCCTCGACTGGTAGTATATTCAGTATCAGTAGAGGAAGTCTTTTAAATTGATTTTCTTGTCTTGAATTAGAATCTTTCGTCGGCACCGTCTCCCGGTGACTCCATATTGATTCATTGACAGTTGGATGAAACGGACTAAAACTACCTTATTTACCAACGCTCGGGTAGAAATATATTCACTTGTATTTAAGTTTGGTTGATTAATATACGTTCGGTAGGTTTGGTTAGCTCTGACCTGGAAAGTTGTAACTATAACGTGTCAATGGATGCAGCCCAAGTATGGGGGTCTTGGATACCGTAATCGTTTGTTTCGTTCGTATTTAACTTGGCCACTGAACAACTTGTCTTTGGCCTTCGTGAGAAGTGAAGCGAGAATTTGATAACTTCATTTTGGCCATGACGTGGATCTGACCTACCGGACTTTCCGTAGTAGAGTTTCATTTAGTTCGAACGATGTCTTTTATCTGAATATTTTTATTTTATTTAGGATTTACATTAACTTCAAAGCCTTGTTAATTGGATAATGCTGTAATCCACCCTTCAATCCACTCCATTGGTGTCTTTAATTGATGGATTGTGATATTTATGGTGCAGGTGGTGCTGGTGGTGGTACTATGGCTGGTGGTAGCAGGCGCTGTTGTGGCCGACTTCCCCAGACCAGAGTACAAGTGAGTATTTAAATTATCTTGTGGGTTAGTTTGAAAAAATATTAATAGCCAACATTTATGGTCTAGACTCAAAATATGACTACCGAGAACAGTAACATAAGTTTCGTGGGTTTATTAAGATCCGAGGTGGTGGTTTTTGCCTATATACAGTATAAACTCTGTATTTGCTTAAATAAGGAACCTTTCGGTCTATATTAAAGTCCTGCAGTACAGTAGGATGAAAATCTTAATTTAACTAGACAAGTTGAAAGGAACGGTAGGAAGAACAAATTTCTGTTAACTTGCATTAATGAAGGAAGTTTGTTCATCCATTAAGTAATATACTTTTTATTTTGTTGTGTACACCCTTGCTTTTCCACTTTGGCGTTCTGAGATTCTCGTTGTGTACAGTTGTCAACAAATGTCGTGTTGCCTTCTGCTGCTCCATAAACCTCCAAGATTGACTCGTGAACCCGAAGCAGTCTTGGGCAGAAGAATTCATGTGACTATTGCTTCGGGTTCACAAGTCTGACTCTTGATAGGTTCGAGGAGCGGGACAAGGCGGTTGTTGGCGACTGTATAGTAATATATAAATCGGATTCTTTTACGTTACTTTGGTTATGAATGTGTTTTTAATGCAGGCTTTTGTTACAGGTACTCTTGTTTACATTACTGTCAGTCACAGCACTATGGTCAATCTCTCTTCTACTGCTGCCGGGCTGCCGAGGTGTCACAAGCGCCGGTTCACTTCACCGGCGGCACGCAAACTGCCTCCGCCCAGGATTCCTTAGCTGCTGCCACATCTACCTTGGAGACGCGGGTCACCATCACTGCCACTCCGCTGTTGTTGAACCTACAGGCACTGGGCGCAGCTGTTACTGAAACTGTAGTAGGCACTCTCTCTACCACAGTCTCTCCCAGCGCCGTATCCGCCACTCTGATTACAAACACCGCTCGAGGTAACTAGTTTTTATTTTGGTTTGTCATTGAAGTATCTTGTATATCAGTGGTTATTCACTGAAGCTGATTTTATTAAAGATCTAATAGGCAAGTTGTCAAGTAGCCACCAAATAACGCCGGGGATAGTTGAAGTAGGTCTTGATGGCTCTTTCTTCCTTGCCAGAAGAGTTCCAGACTCACAGAGGAGAGTGTCCGCCGTCACGCGCCTTCTGTCCAGGAGCCAGGTCAAAGTTCCCACACCTCTCGGTAAGTACTGTGTTCCTAGAGTTTTTTGGTTGTTATTATAGGAAGTTTCTCTTGTCTCCAGCATTAGCTTCATGGATACATAGACGTGAATCTCTCTTTTCTGCCTCCCAAGACCAACAAATATTATATAGATGTAATTTCATGTTTAATATACGATTAACTTCGGTAATTCATTTTAAAGGAAGATTAACTTTAGTTTTTGTAATCAACCTTTTGTTTAAGTGTTGCTCAAATCCAGGTCGGTGAATACTTTAGCAGGTGGCAATCTGTCGTTAGATCAGATCAGGTAGATGAATTTTTTAGTCACCGAGGTCCTGTAGCATATATTATATTAAGAGCGGACTGAATAAGTTGTTGCTTTAATTGGAACACATTTAACTACTGTGGGTCATGAATAGTTCTTAAATTTCCGGGTTTTTTTTTTAATCTATGGGACTTCCTCTAGTCATGTTGGACCTTTGTAGGTCATTGTGGACATATTCTTGAAGATAAATGACCCTTAAACTTCGTTGGTACTATAGTTCTTGTCTATTGTATGGATACTAAATGAACACGAATCTTTAATTTTATCATGATTTTCACTTCCAGTTGTGCAAGACAGACTACGATTGTGTAGAATCTGATAAATGCTGCTATGACGCCTGCCTGAAGAACTACGTCTGCAAGACTGCTGTTGGCGGCAGATATCCTAGGACCGTGGACGAAGTGAAGTACGAATCTAAGAAATCCTACGGTTATAAAAAGTCTACTAGAGGAATGCGGGTCATCCTACGGGATAATGGAGAACCGGTGCATGTTGTGGTGGATGATAAGGATGAACCCGTGGCAGTGGGTGAAGGCGACATGGTGGTTATGGTAGTTCGGGACCCGATGGCGGTAGTCTCTGGCACTGCAGGTGTTACAGACTCTCCCGACACTGAATACCCGACGCCTAAATCCCCCACGCCTACAGCGACCGTACACCTGTCTGAAGAGGATGATGTTTACGTAGTGAAAGACGAAAATGGCGATGTTGTAATGGATGCCAATGACAACACGTTAACGCTGGTACAACTTGGTTTAGGTCCCACGCTTCTGTTAAACGATGTGGGGATGAAAGTCCTGGCCGAGTTTAGTTCGTCTACAGAATTTGCGTTCAGAGGGACAGTCGCATACTCCCTTGTACCGAACCTGATGGTGCATAAACAGACGTACACCCAAGAAACTAGAACCGCATACCACATAACGGCACAAGGTAAAATTATAACCGTTGACGAAGAAGCCCCATTAATAGTGGTCAACAGTGATGGGGTGACCTTCATGCTCGACTACCTAGCAACAGAAAATATCCAGGCGAGTGCACTGTCTCTCATCAGTGTTGTGGATGCGAATAAAGTGGATGCCGATATCGTGTTGGATGGAGATGGGAACGTGGTCACTGATGAGTATGGCAATATAGTTACAACGAAGGATATGACCCGCGCTCCACCTTCACCAGACGAAGAGATGGTCATTATCGACGGGGATGGTAATGCAGTGAAATTAGTGGATATGAACGATATGGCAGTGAAGTTAACGGACAACCTTGGCAATGAACCGAAAATAATGAATGAAGGACTAGTCATGAAACTCGAGAATTCGGTCGGGGTGGCAATCCATGAGATGGATGATGGCATATTTCTAATCATTGACGGGGATGGACGTGTGGTGTTAGATAAGTATGGTCATCCTCTCCTCGTCCAGCCGCTCAGAGAACAACCTGGTATGGGGAACATGTACGAGCAAGATATGATGGGTGAGGAGGAAGATTCGGACATGGAAGAATATTTAGATGAGGAAGATGCACTTCTAAAATGTGTATCCGAGTATCGTAAGCGGCAACCTACACATTATGGGGGGCCAGGTCTTTCTATGCGTGATTATGATGCGGAGCAGCAGCCAGGGACCACTACAGAAGCGCAGGCAGATGAAGACGACGGTTCGGGGATGGAGGGAGATACAGGCACCTTTGATTATCCAGTTGACTCCGAAGATGAATACGTTGATGAAGAGTATGAGGATAATAAAATAATGGATTACGACGACACTGAAACGCTTCCTGGGGGGAGACATTTGCTTTCGGTTTTACCTCGACGAAAACGACATTTACATTTACAGGCAGAGTCGCTTGATGACGAAACTCTGGATGGATCGGGGAGTGAAGATGATATGGACACAGGCTCGGGGTACTCCAGTGACCTTAAGAAGCATCACGAGCTACCGTCCAGGTGGGAACGTTCAGCACCTTCCGACAGTAACCAGACAATGATGGATGGAAGTGAAGTGGATGATAATTCAGATGGTAATGCCGCAAGTTCCCGCAGGCGACGCCATACTGATGGAATGGAGGAAGGATCTGGGTCAGGTGACTTAGAAGGTTCCCGAAGGCGACGACATACTGATGGAATGGAGGAAGGATCAGGTGACGTAGATCACCGAAGGCGACGACATACTGATGGAATGGAGGAAGGATTGGGTCAGGTGACCTAGAAGGTTCCCGAAGGCGACGACATACTGATGGAATGGAGGAAGGGTCAGGTGACGTAGATCACCGCAGGCGACGACATACTGATGGAATGGAGGAAGGATCTGGGTCAGGTGACCTAGAAGGTTCCCGAAGGCGACGACACACCCATGGAATGGAGGAAGGATCTGGGTCAGGTGACCTGGAAGGTTCCGAAGGCGACGACATACCCATGGAATGGAGGAAGGATCTGGGTCAGGTGACCTGGAAGGTTCCCGCAGGCGACGACATACCCATGGAACGGAGGAAGGATCTGGGTTAGGTGACCTGGAAGGTTCTCGCAGGCGACGACATACCCATGGAACGGAGGAAGGATCTGGGTCAGGTGACCTGGAAGGTTCCCGCAGGCGACGACATACCCATGGAATGGAGGAAGGATCTGGGTCAGGTGACCTGGAAGGTTCTCGCAGGCGACGACATACCCATGGAACGGAGGAAGGATCTGGGTTAGGTGACCTGGAAGGTTCCCGAAGGCGACGACATACCCATGGAATGGAGGAAGGATCTGGGGCAAGTGACCTAGAAGGTTCCCGAAGGCGACGACATACCCATGGAATGGAGGAAGGATCTGGGTCGGGTGACGAAGAATCTGGAGGAAGGCGTCGTCGAGCTATTCACTGAGGTACCGGGCTCAACATCTACCACCATTTTGTTCTCGCAAAATATTTGTAATTTATGTTGCCAGGTTTCCAATATGGTGAAGTTTGACCTGATGAATGACTTAGTATTAGACGAACCGGTTAACGTTGTGAGGATAATGAGTGACTAACCTGGCAGTAGAGGAATCTGGAGTTCATATCGTCACTGGTTCTTTTCGTAGTAGTGCTCCTTTGAAAAGTTGTAGTTACTGTAAATATAACCATTGGCTTCTTGGGTGTTACAGATGGTGATTCTTATGATGGTGGAAGAGTCGCTAATGTGGTCACTGCAGCTGTCTGTCTTCCTCAATATGCTGGAAGAGATGACGGGCATAGCAGCTGATATCGGCCACGTGACGAAAATTCCACACCCAAACTTTGTATATGCCTAGAATTTATGCCTAGAACCTCACTTAATTTTACTTAATAAATTTCTATATTTTACAAAGATGTTTAAATTGAAAGTTTCTATCCTCCTAAAAATAGTTGGCTACTTACAAAGTTACTTAGACAAACTGAAAAAAAATCTCTCGCTGGGTCTGTCTTCATATTGCAAAAAAAATGCTAAATGGAGCTATTGATTCTTTCATCGACTTGTTAAACACACAATCTGTACCTAAAACCTAGAAAAAAAATATTAGTTTTCCTGTGTTTAGAAGTGAAAATTAATTTAAAATGTAATTAAAATTCTGCATATTATTAAATTAGTTGAGGTTTGGGTGCTTCAAGTGGAGGACTTTTTGTGGCAAAGGAACGAACACTAAAACCAAGGACTGAAAACCATACAATAGAGGAAATTTGTCGAACCATGAATAGAAAAACTGAAATGCTACCGGTGTAGGTCTGTCAACATAACCTAAGGTAGAAGTCGTGTGGTATACTTTAGTTGGGTCTTGGTGGCTTGGCGGTCTGGTACAAGGGGTGTCGATACTAGACATGTGTGGTAGGACTCGACAGTAAAGTATAATTTTTTTCACTTTTTTTGGTTACTACTTATTGATAACTGGAGACTAGATTGCTGGTTATTTTTTTCTTCAATCTACTTAATTGTTTGACCTAACCGAAATGTACTCGAGTAAACCTGATTTTCGATAGGCAGACTAGTACATAAGAATTAAAGGCTGCCCGCAATGATCGACACAAACCTTGGAATAAGTGTGTACTCGAGACATTGTCCACTCCAGCCATTTGAGTACAGCAGTATGGCGAGACAAAATCCATTAACAAGGTAATAGTACTGTGACCCTCGGATTCAAAACTCCTTTGTGGTTAATGTATCTGAACCAATTGGTCTTGCATTATACTGTATTACGGTGGGTCACTGTACCGGCCGTCATTAAAATGCTGAAATTGAGCCCTTTTTTGGGGGTTGGGGGGGAAGTACAATGCAAAAGATAATTATGATGGCATTTTATTTAATTTCCTTCATATTATAATGGTTTAGGAATACTGCTTTATGATGAGTTGGCACGAGAGGATGACGTCTACTAGGAACGGTCATTTTGTCCTGTTCCTTGTTTGAGTTCCAGGAATATCCAAAAGGGGGATCCAAGAAGTTTTGGATGGAACTTTGCTAGCAAAGCAAAGCCTTCCCACCTCTTGGGTTTTGGGAGCGCTGTAAGCCCCGGATATTTTTTTTTTTTTATTTTTTTTTTTTTTTAAATCTGACCAATATCATGGGTGTTTTGAAGACCTTCGCACTTGATGTTAGGGGATATTCTGGGGTCGATGGTAATTAATTTATTATACAAAAATGCCCGAGTACAGTACTGCATTAAAGAAGTGTTGGAGTTTTCGGATGAAAGGGGGGTCCGGATCCGCCCTTGACTTGTGCCTTTCGTAGTACTCGCTGCAGAGCCTTTGTCAAAAGCATCTACACGCCGTTATACATCGACTTTCAGTGAGTACTTTACTGTTAGTTTTTTGTTTTATCAGAGACTTGGAAATTCTATCTTCTTGAGGGTACATTTTCTATGATAATCACCCGTGGTATCAATCCATTTTCTACTACTGATCATGGATAACCAAGTTTTATAACTTTTCTTAAATTCGATATAACACGACTACGCCTGGATTTTAGTTTTACAGAATCTATTGTAATATTTCATGTATTGCATAATGACGGTAAAAAGGAAATGAATTGTTACTGATCACCTTTATAATGTTCGTGACTTCAAATTACTTTAGTTACCCTATATATGTATTTCATTTAACAAAACACGTTTTTATGACGTCATGGTCTAGTAGCTCTGTCACAATGCGGGGAAAATAACCAATCGGAACGATCGGTAAAACAGTCGGAAAAACAGCAGCACTGGTCCACCCTCCCACCACTGTCCACTCCCTATCACGTCCTAGTCCTCTGTTCCAGGATGATGGTCACGGTAATGTTGGGGGACAGGTTTTGGGTTGTGTAACTGTACCCGAGTGCTCTAAGAACTACATAGGTGTGGCTGCAAGGACTTGAATATCTGTTCTTACATTTAACAGATACCAGGCTGACTTGACCCCTGTCCTTACTTGTACTTTAGACTTTTATAGCTATAATCTGGCTTTTCAATGCGTCTTAAAAAATCGCTGTTATGAAGGAGCTCAACAAATTATAAACAAAACAGAAAATGGGCCTCGGGGACTTATGGTTTAAATGAGTATTATTAATTCAAGGCAAAATATATCGACTGTATATATACCTGATGATTAAAACACAGTACATGTGTTCCTAGGATGTGTTGGCAGTGTTGATGTTGACAGGAGTTGAGGTTCTGGCAGACACCACGAACAGATGAGTAAGTTATAACTTTTTGTGACTCTCCTTCACTGCTAATCCGAGCCATGGCGTCAGATGCCCCAACCTTGAGTACCTCTGTATTGAAGGCTTTAGTAAATCTGATTGACTTAATTTTCTTAAATGAATATAAAGTTTGTAGATTCTATTTCGTAAAAAAAAATATCATTCATAAATAGGCTGATGGACCGTACTGATTATATTATGAAGTGAACATATTACCAACTATCTATAAGTAGGCTAAGTTTAGTATAAGTGTAACTCAGTATAATGACTTACTGGCAGGTACTCGTGTGTGTACTACTGTGTGACTGAGAACCCTAGCCTGTGGTCCACTAAGTCACTCGTCTATTGCTGTCGAGCCCCTTCACTCAACCTAACACAACACACTACATCGTCAGGTAGGTCCTACTTGTTTGATAGGTTTAGTGACGCTCCCACCCCTCATCCCCACCCTCACCCCCCGTCCCTACCCAACCTCCCCAATCCAGCCCCCCAAAAAAAAATAATAATAATAAATAACAATAAACAGTAATCTATTGATATTGTTTTTCTTTCAGGTGTGTGAGCAGGACGGAGACTGTGGTGGCCGGAACGAGAGGTGTTGTGTGGAGGAGTGTGGGAACCAGCAGATGTGTATGGTGGTGCCCGTCCCCCACACTCGTCGACACAAACACCAGTTAGGCCATAATGGGACAAGATATCATAGTAGAGTTAACGTAAGTGCTGGAAGTATTGCTAGACATGGCGATATTGATGATGATGAGGTTGTCGGTAGTGGAGAAAGACATTATTAGGAAAGACATTAGTGAAACGAACGAAGAATATGAAGAGAATATTACTGACATTGATAATACCGTTGTACAAGATGATGGTGGTCTTGTGATTGACGACAACTTAACTCATTCTGACGGTGATGAATACTATTTCTACTATTATTACTATTACTATGATGATGATGATGATGATGATGGTACACCCCCGAACTACTATGATGATAATGACGACGATACAACCCCGAACGATATCAGTGAAGAGGACTAACTCTCCTACTTACCATATGAGAGTAAAACAAAAAAGGTATAGTGAAAGATGGTCTTACATAGTGGTATTTTTATCCGGGTTCTGAAATTTCTGTAACTTTAAGAATTGTTCAGAAAATAATCGTCTTTTTTATGTTTTTAAAGTAATTTTATTTGATCAGCTGATGTTAATCCTAGATGGTAGCAAATGTATCATAAGTTCACAACAAATGTCTTAGAAACGTGGGAGGAGCAGTTTTACAGATGGGAATTTTGTTTAAGATTTAAGGTTCCATCTTTAACCCTTGTGTGTGTGTGTGTGTCAGTTTTAATGAATTCAGTTTTGTTATATAAGTGTACTTGGGTGTGTGTGTGGTGTTCATGCGTCCCTTTTATGTTTAGTGATGTTCAGTTTCTTTCTTGATGTATACACAATAATGAAGATGTTATATTTCATTTCAACAAAACATTAAATATGTCCTTTTATTGTGAACATTTTATCTCCAGTTAGATATTGACAGCTCCATCTTCCATCACCTGTGTTGAGAACCTTGACCTAATGAGACCAATGATTGTTATTGTTCCTCACTGTTTCTGTAACCACGAGAACGACTTACGTGTGTGTTTACTTAAATTTATCAAACTCAACCAGGAATAAACCACACGATTCTGTATTCATAGTCAAATTTCACATAAGATAAATACCGGAATTAAGAAATTTTCATGATAATTTGAGTTAAATATCGATTAGAACATGTTAAATACATTTCTCAGAGGTAAATAATTGTTACGTATTGTCTCAGGCTCTTAAAAGTTGTAACATTTGTGTATAAATAGGGTGTCTGTCTCTCTGTACTGTCACAACAAGAGTGTAACAAATTGCCTTGTTTTACTTGATGTGAGTTTTTAGTGTAATTTTAATCAAGAATGTAAACAAAAATAAAGTTCCATTTATATTTATTTTATTCTGAATTTCTTTAATTTATCTGCTATGGTGAGTGATGCTAAGGGTGAGAAGAGTTTATTCCTCTAACCATTAACCCTTTGAGTGTGATGATAACCCTTGGGGAAAAACTCATCACATTCAACAGAACTCAACAACAAATGGTAGGAAAACAAATCTCAGGGTTTTGAAGTGATGGTTAGGTTGAGTGAGAAAATATTAATTCCACAATAGTGATTAGTTATTCACTACAGACAGTAAACAGGTGATAATTCAGGTGTGTGTATCCTAGTACCACCATCCTCATCGTGCTGCAGTAACAATGAGGTAATTAAGCTGATATACGTAATCTAATCTAGACACTCGACGGGACCAGAAAAATCAATTACCTGTAGTGCTGAAAGAGCTCTCTACTGTACTGTGATGTTGCTGCTCTTTTTCTTTTTTAACTTATGTGCTTTTATTTTTATCTTTTATTTATTTTTAGACATAAGGTTACTATTATTTACTTACACATCCAGATTGAGATTTTGTTTAGATGATACAGACATTTTGCGTTCTGTTTTTGTGAATGAGTTTCAAAAAGGTGTTTAGTCATTTTGCATAATATTAAATACCAGACCCCTAACCTAACCTAACCTTTTTTTTTGGCATCTTCCTGAGTCGCTTACTGAGTCCAACAGGTAACTTGTTT